AAGGACCTGATGAAGATGAGAGAGATAAAAGGGATGAAGACTACCTCACAAAAAAGGGACGAAGACTGCCTCACCCCGTGGTTATTTTGATCCGTGGTTTTTCCCGGGGCTTTGGGCAAATGCCGAGGCAGAGGCTTGAGAAGTCCTTTAAAAGGGCGTTGGGTCCACGGAATGTTACCCCTCTCTTGCCTGAAGAATTTTTGGGACTTTGAGGAAAATTCCTGGAATCAATGAAGTCGATTGGACCCAAGATGGTGTGCAGTTCGTTGTACCTGGAACAGCAGTTCGGGGGGGAGAACATGGAGTCACATCGGGGACTGTAATTCGGCGAGGTTCCTGTAAGGAATTGTTCTGGATCTGTCCTATTGAATTAATTGTCGGGACGACAATTTTGAAGAGGAGGGGCAAGTGTTATGTCCGTGTCCCGCCCGGTTTGACGATACATCCCTGTATTATACGATCGTCAGGATTTTCTATTAGGATCTTCTATCAGGGTCTTCTATCAGGGTCTTCTATCAGGATCTTCTATCGTCGCTAAGAAGCTGTTTATGTCTATCGATGCGTTTTGTTCTGGTCTAGCGTCGTGCGGTGAGGACGTATCCTCTGACAGCTGATCGGCGGATATATTTGCATTAGGATTAATGCACGTAATATTATATTGTATCGCTACGGTTTATTGGCTTCTAATATTAAAGTTTATTGCTTTACTACGCGAGTGTATTCATTTCCGGCGTGTGAGAGTTTGAGTGCGCGCGACATTTCTTCGAGATAATCAGAAGGGTGGTCGCGGACGTAACAATATTACAAAATAATTAACAATAAATTATTAAATTACTACACTTATTATATAAATTATTTTAATTATACTACATATATGTATATATGTATATACATATAATATACTAATTATATACTATTAAAATTATATATATAAATGATTAAACTATTAAAATATTAAACTATAAAATTATTAAACTTTACACTATTTATAATTTTTGCTTTTTGTTACTTAATTTATATATTTTCTTATTATATTATAATTATTTATCTCAATATATCTTTTTTAATATTCCGTAATTTTATATGTTCGAGTTTGAACTAAACATGCAATAACTTTTGGAAATTTATAATTGATTTGTTTACAAACAACATTTGTTAATTTATCAAATATATTAAATTCTTGATTTAAAAAATTACCATGTAAAATGTGAAGTATAAATAAGAAGATAAAGTGATAACATTTCCTTTGCTTGCAGAAGAAAGAAGAGTATTTGTACTGTGAATTTCGAGCAGATTTTCTTCTAACATATTTGTACTTATATACGCACTTCTCTGCTAATTACAAATCTATTATCAAATTAGAAAGAATTATTATCAGAAAATGAAAATACGAGCGTTAATAAAATATAAGTTTAGTAAACTGCGTCACTTGTCTGTAAGTAAAAAATGTTCCTTTGTTCTAGAATTTCTCATTTTTATCCAAATGTGTCGAATAATAATAAAATTAAATTATACATTTTTTTATTTGTTATTACTTTATTAAGTGAGTTATTACTTAAGTATAATAGCAAATAAAAAATTTAATATAAATACATATATTTCTATAATATAATTTATATATATAAATTATATTTTGCAAATATAGTAATGATTATAAAGCAATGAGATTATAAAGTAAATGAGAATAATTCATCCTACATTTTCGTGTACACATGCAAATGTAGAATGAACTACTCTCGTTTACTAGGCTTCCAAATTGATATCTAAACATTCACTTATATTCTTTTATCCAATGTGAAATCCGGTCTGGTCTAATTTTAGGTAAAAAGCAATCCGTATATATATTTTCACAATTATATTTTCATAGTAAAACGCTTGTAACATATGCTACACCGCCAGACAAGACTGCGCGCGAAAGCGCTCGCGGAAAACCGTCCGTAAAGTCGTGCACTCATTCGTGCCTTCGCCGCTACGCGGCGTCTTTTCTCGCAGTTAGAATTCCGCTGAGTGAGGATATAAGGCCACGCGCTGCACTGCCTAAAACATATTTGTGAATATATACGTATACATGTATACGACCAATGAGTGTCATTAAATTATTATCGGACACTCAATAGCAGTATTTTATTATAAAATTACTTGGAGACATTTTGGGTCAACAAATATGTCGGAAAACAACTGTGATTTTTTCGAAAGTAAAGATTTTAGCTAACTCTTTTTAAATTTAAATTCTTATTTTTCAAAATAAAGGACGGTATTTCATAGTCCGTTCTTATATTTAAGACTGTCTTAAGTACAAAGTTTTAAGATGCTTTTCTCTTCTTAAGTTTAGTCGGATTCATAATCAAATCTTGATGGTCTTATTTGAATCAAATAAGATCGTGTTTATTAGAAAGTAAGGTATGTTTTCAAGTCAGTTGTACATGACTTTAAGATAAGCTTTAAGGGGGAGCACAGACTTTGCATAAGGCATAAAGCAGGGAGCATAACGTAACGTTCGTCAACGCACAAATTGGTGCATAAGACTTTATAATATTCGAACTGTTCACGAACGCGCTGCTTGAGCAAAGGATCGCGCTGCACGAAAGGATGAGTCACTTTTTGTATTAAATTGACTTTAATATTTTAAAACAATTAGAAAACGAACACTTTAACAAACTTTTACAATCTTAATTAATTTACAGAGAAAATCGAACTCAAATCAATGTGCGGAATAGCGGCGGTCGTCAACGAATTTGCTGGGGTGTATCTGATAAGCGGTTTGCGATATGTTTCACGGCGGAAAAGCGATAAAGCTGTGATTTCGGGTGCGAGCTCTCTTTTATGGGTTTCCGCAAAAGACCACCTTTTCGGGAAGCGCCAATAATTTTGCGTCTTTTAAAGTTGCGCGAGGTGACCTGAGTGTATTACGCGTAATTGGCCGCTGTCAAAATTGACAGAACCACGGCTGTTAGAAAGCATGCGCGAGCTGGCGATCACGATGATTATTGGCGAAACGAGGCGCCCGTGAGAAGCCGCGCATGCTCAATAAATATAATTATTCGGCAGAACGGTTGCGACACCGTTAATTGTTTATATTTCGAGCGTGTTTTTGTACGACAGGATAATTATGTCGCGATATGTTTTCAAAAAAAAAAATATAAAAACGATATGCCTGTTGACTTGCGATCGGAAGCGAATATTCTAGAATATTCTATTTAAGATATAATATTTTATTACATGTAGTTTCTATTATGCGTTTCAAACATTCCCGCCCGCCTTGTCGCGCAGTGACAACATGTTTATGGTATTTCGGTCGCGGAATCGCAAGTCGATAGCGATCGATGGTGGGGGCGAGCGCGCCGGCGCGGCGAAATACACGTGGTGATCGCGTGGTGTGAATCGATCAGCCGATGAGCACGTGGTAAACGCGTGGTGTGAAATAATCAGCTGATCCGGTGACAACGCGTGGTTGATGTGAACGGCGAGTGTGTAATGCAGTGAGCGGTGATAACGAAATAATTTTTTTTCTTTTTGTGCGGTGGTGGATGAGATGAGTGACGTGCGACAGATGCTATGATGCATGAAGTGATGATTGTGTGACGTTACGAAGTGTCAGTGTGCGGTGTAGGTGCGTCGTTCACGCCCGGGAGGAAAACAAGCTTGACGAGTGGGCGCACAAGCTCGGACGTGGCCGTTCGGATTGACACCACGCGTACAATCCCATCGTCCCCGGGGTGAAGTCGCGATATGCGAGCCAGTGGCCATCGGCTCGGTGGGGTGAGCTCGGGCGCACGAGACAGAGGTCACCGACGTGGGGGGTGCAGCTTCTCCCTTGAGCCATTTGGTGCGTGAGGCTAGTCCGTGCAAATATTCGGATGACCATCGCTGCCAGAAGTGATCCCTCATCTGCTGCAAATGACGCCAGCGTGACAAGGTGGGTACCGTCTGCCCTGTCAATGACGGTTCCGGCACAGCAAGTAGCGGCGCCCCGACGAGGAAGTGACCGGGGGTCAACGCAGAGACGTCCTCTGGGTCATCTGAGAGTGCCTGCAATGGACGAGAATTAAGACAAGCTTCGATCTGGGCGAGGAGTGTGCTCAGCTCCTCGAACGTGAGGGTGGTCTCGCCGATCACCCGACGGAGGTGGAACTTGGTCGACTTCACTGCAGCCTCCCAAAGACCACCAAAGTGCGGGGCCGCTGGCGGGTTGAAGTGCCAGCGGATTCCTTGAGCGGTGGCGGCAAGGACGATACGATGACCTTCGGCTGTCGCTGCATCAAAGAGACCTCGCAGCGTACGATCTGCCCCGATGAATGTCGTGCCGCAGTCGCTGTAGATCTCAGCACAGAGGCCCCTGCGGGAGACGAAGCGGTGCAGAGCGGCGATGAAAGCCTCGGAGGTGTAGTCGGAGACGACCTCCAAGTGAGTGGCCTTCGACCAGAAACAGATGAAGACTGCGATGTACCCTTTATGCGCACGGTGTCCACGTCCCTTGCTGGTCCGAAGGAGGATGGGTCCTGCGTAATCCACGCCGGTGCTGAGGAACGGTCGGGTTGGCGTTACTCGGTCCCGAGGAAGGTTACCCATCTGAGGCTGTGGCGTGGCAGCACGCCATCGAGTGCAGGTAACGCATCGATGTAGCTGCTGCTTGACGGCGGTTCTTCCTCGAGGCACCCAGAAGCGCAGGCGGAGCAGGCCGAGTGTCAGCTGCACACCCCCGTGCAGTGTTCGTCGATGGCAGGAATCGATCACCAGCCGAGTCAGCCAGGATGCCGCCGGGATGATCATCGGATGTTTCTCGTCGAGCGGAAGTTGAGAGTTTTTGAGACGTCCTCCGACGCGCAGTACGCCTTGATCGTCGAGGAACGGACTCAACTTTACCAGGTGGCTTCGCGGTGGGAGTAGTGCGTCCAGCAGAGGCCGCGGCTACGTCCGTCGGAAAATGGAGCGCCTGCACCACTCGCAGCCATCGAAACAGCGCGGAGTCCAGCTCGTCAGGCTGCAATGGACAGCCAGGTCTGGCGTCACGTCTCACCGGGTTGAGCCATCGACGACACCACGCAGTGACTCGCAGCAGCCGTTGCAGCGTCGGGAACCGCAGAAGAAGGTCCGGTTCGGTAATGACTGGCGCCTTGACTACCAGGCTGGTGACTCGTTGCTCAGGGAGGTCATCCTCTGGGACGTCGATGTCTGCACCAGGCCAGGCAGCCTCGTCTCCTGACAGCCAGGTAGGTCCTGTCCACCACAGTTTATGATTGCGTAAGTCCTCAGGTGTAACACCACGCGATGCACAATCTGCAGGGTTTTCTCGTCCGGCGACGTGTCTCCAATGAGCGTCTGGAAGCAGGGTCTGGATCTGCGACACTCGGTTGGCAACAAAGGTCTTCCAGCGGGTGCAGTGTCCGCGAATCCAGTGAAGAGTGACCTTGGAGTCGGACCACAGGTGCACCGGCGTAGCAGCCAAGCCGAGGGTAGTGCGTACATGCAACATGAGCGTGGTGAGTAATGCGGCGGCACAAAGCTCCATCAAGGGTAACGACACCTGCTTGACTGGTGCGACCTTCGATTTTGCCATCAGCAGATTAATTGATGTCTTCTCTGTTGCAGCGTTGCGGATGTATACGACGGCGGCGTATCCTCGCTCCGATGCATCGGCAAACCCATGGAGCTGCAGTTGCGACTGGTCATCTCCGGTGCTGAGCCAACGATCCACACGGATGTGATCCAGCAACGGAAGTTGATTCAGCAGTTGTCTCCAGCGGTGTGCGTCCTGATCAGGCAGCGGAGAGTCCCAATCCAGCCGTTGAAGCCACGTAGACTGGATCAGAATTTTGGCTCGGATGACGACAGGCGCTAGCCAGCCCATCGGATCGAATAGTCGAGCTGTCTCGGCCAAGACTCGTCTCTTCGTGAGGTCGGTGGTTGAACGGGACGTATGGTGAAGGAGAACCAATCCCCTTGAGGATGCCATCGAAGACCCAGGGTGGCGTGGCTCTCTCCTTCCCACGAGCGCGGTCCGCGTTGAAGCCGATGTTCCGGCGGAATTCCGGTGAGCACCTGCTGGTTGTTGGCAGCCCACTTTCGCAAAGGAAACCCGCCCGCCATGCAGAGACTCTGTAGTTCCTGTTGGAGTTTGATGGCATCCGCCAGGCTGTCGGCACCGGTGACCACGTCGTCGACGTAACAGTCTTGTCGCAGCGCCCTGACTCCGCGTGGATATCGTGCCTCTTCGTCTGCAGCAAGTTGGTGAAGCGTCCTGATGGCGAGGAAGGGTGCGCACGCCAGTCCGTAGGTCACGGTCTTCAACTCGTACTCGCAGATGTTGTCTGAGCTGTTGTGGCGCCACAGGATGGTTTGCAGGCGACAATCCTCCGGATGAACAAGAATTTGTCGGTACATTTTCTCGATGTCCGTGACGAAAACGTACCGATGCCAACGCCAACGGAGTAAGACGTCAGCGAGTGCTGGCAAGAGGTTAGCTCCAGTGAGGAGGTGCGAGTTCAGCGACTCTCCGGACCGTGTGCGTTGGGAGCCGTTGAACACAACCCTGAGCTTCGTGGTCGTGCTCGACTCCTTGAGGACCCCGTGATGCGGTAAGTAGCACCTGGGACCAGAACCTGTCGTAAACGTACTAACCTTCTCCATGTGTTGCAGGTTTTCGTATTCATCCATGAAGTCTCGATAGAGATCACCGAACCGAGCATCACGGGCTCCCTTCCGCTCCATCGCTTCCAGGAGGCGCTCTGCAGGTCGACGAGTCTCGCTGAGTGATGTCGGCTGGTGCAGTCGCGGGAGTCGCTGTGGTGACTGTGCGGTGATGATGCTGTCGTCACTGGATGTGACTGTGCGCACATAGAGGTCCTCGCATCTGGCTTCGTCGGCGGTGAGCACGATCCCAGCTGCTGGCTCGCGTTCCTGCTCCCAGAATCGTCGCACCAGGTCAGCAAGGTCGTTGTCGGCGGTGCACTGAAACGTGCGGCGATGTCCGTCGGTGACTGCTGAGTCGTAGCCTCCGGACAGGATCCATCCCAAGCTGGTCTGCTGGGCGATCGGCATGCGTGAGTCGCCCTTGCGAAGGCCTTCCTCAAGAATTAACGAGTAGACCTCTGCACCAAGAAGTAGCTCCGCAGGGTCGTCATCCAGGTACCGCGGGTCGGCCAACCGGAGTCCTTGGATGTGAGGCCAGCTGCAATTCTCGCGTTGAGCGGTGCCTTGTTGTAGTGAGATGCGAGGCAAACAAAGGCGACCACGCGAAGCTCGGTGTTGGTCACGTCGGATGTGATGTCCAGGGTGACCTTGCCACGAGCCGATCCAGAGCGAGTCCCTCCGATGCCAAAGATGGACAGATTCGTTGAAGCTCGAGGAAGACGAAGGCGTTGAGCCAGCGCTTCAGAGATGATGGACACCTCGGAGCACTGGTCGATCAAGACTCGAACCTCGTGTGGTGATCCGTAGCGGTCCGCGACCTTGACGCGGGCAGTTGCAAGAAGGACGGCCTTGTGACTCTCACATTGCTGTGAGGTGGCCAGTGTGGTGGCAAGTGAAGTGCCTCAGCGGACGGTGATGATGTGGATGCCCCGTGCAGCATGGTGTGGTGTCGTGCGTTGCAAGTGAGGCAATTCTTCTTCGATTGACACCGTGACAAGAAGTGATTGCCCAGGCAGTTGAAGCACAGTCGGTTGGTCTCCACGAATGTTTTCCGTTCGACCGCGGTCTTGGCCTTGAACTCCTTGCAGGTCATCAGTGTATGTTTTTCACGACACAGTGCACAATGAGGCGAATCTGTGCCTTGATGTCTGGTGACGTGCGCTTTGGCGAATCGCGATGCCTCTCCAGGTCCTTTTGTGACACTCCTCGGTCGTGCAGCGTTGAGGGTCAATACCCGTCGACTAATAAAGTCGAGAAGTGCCTCATTCTGTGGTGGTTCGGTGGAGTCTGACGTGGCTGACTCCCATTCGAGACGAGTGCGGGCGTCGAACAATTCGATGACCAGGTGATTGAACAGGTCCATCCCGTGCGAGTTGATAGGACGTCCAATACTCTCTGTGCATTGATGGCGGCGGTGACAGCGTTGTGGATGCGGCTCAGCTCCTCGGCGGTATCTCCCTTCATCTTTGGCACGGCGGTAAACGTGGCAAAGTTGGAGCGGATTAATTCTCTTTGTTGTCGTAATGCTTGTTCAAGATTGCCCAAGCGCGATCGTAATTGTCACTTGTGACAGGTAGTGATCTTATCAATTTTTCAGCCTGACCTGTCAAACACGAGCGGAGGTGGTGAAGACGCTCGATGTTTGAGATGGAATTGCTGCTCACAACGGACAGGAAGAGATCACGAAATGACGGCCAATCAGCGTAGGCGCCAGAAAACGGCGGCAACTTGATGCGCGGCAGCGACGACCTTGATGCGACGTCGACGGATGGAGATACGTTTGGCTTCCGGAAATGTTCAGCGTAGCCATCCAGGATACTGCGTTGTGCCACGTAAAGATTTTCAGTATCTCCATGCAACTCCGACTTGAAGTATTCGCTGTCACTAAACTTCTCTTTCAGAGCCGCGCGAATGAGATCATGCTGGGCCTCAAATTTCGTCCACAGCTGATCTAGGATCCTGATGCGTGTGGATACGGCACTGGCGGTGATGTGGTCGTGCCCAGCTTCTTCAAGTATTCCACGGAGCGTGAAATACGGACTTGGACCTCACGTTGGCAATCGATCAAGGTGTTCACATCCATGTCGAACTACGAGCTCACTGACCGCACCAAGAGACACGTTCACAAACTTGCGGATGCCGGCACGATGTATCCGGCTCGAAGGACCAAAAATATGTTCACGAACGCGCTGCTTGAGCAAAGGATCGCGCTGCACGAAAGGATGAGTCACTTTTTTGTATTAAATGACTTTAATATTTTAAAACAATTAGAAAACGAACACTTTAACAAACTTTTACAATCTTAATTAATTTACAGAGAAAATCGAACTCAAATCAATGTGCGGAATAGCGGCGGTCGTCAACGAATTTTGCGGTGTATCTGATAAGCGGTTTGCGATATGTTTTCACGGCGGAAAAGCGATAAAGCTGTGATTTCGGGTGCGAGCTCTCTTTTATGGGTTTCCGCAAAAGACCCACCTTTTCGGGAGCGCCAATAATTTTGCGTCTTTTAAAGTTGCGCGAGAGGTGACCTGAGGTATTACGCGTAATTGCCGCTGTCAAAATTGACAAACCACGGGCTGTTAGAAAGCATGCGCGAGCTGGCGATCACGATGATTATTGGCGAAACGAGGCGCCCGTGAGAAGCGCGCATGCTCAATAAAATATAATTATTCGGCAGAACGGTTGCGAACCGTTAATTGTTTATATTTCGAGCGTGTTTTTGTACGAAGGATAATTTATGTCGCGATATGTTTTCAAAAAAAAAAACTTATAAAAAGATATGCCTGTTGACTTGCGATAGAAGCGAATATTCTAGAATATTCTATTAAGATATAAGATTTTATTACACAAACTTTCATAAGACTTTATAAATTCTAACCATATAGTTGACCATCGAATGCTACACTCTCGCAATCACATAAAATTGATATACGGTAAATTTTATCAAATTAAAAGACATAAATAATATTATTGAATGAATATTAATTATTTTTTCTTATTTTATATCTAGGTGAAGTGAAACATCAAAAGTTTAGGATAAAAATTATATTAAAAGATAATTCAAGACAGTGTCATCACCACGCGCGTGTCATATAAATCTAATTATAGTGGATGAGTTTCATAAATCTCTATTGAAGACAATAATTTACAAATTTCTTCTTCAAATTCTTTTGTGCAACTATATTCCAAGAATAATTGGATCAGTAGTACCAGTGTTTAAGTTAGTTTAAGAAGAGCCTGGAAGATTAAGTCTAGATATCCTTTCAATAATGGTAAAAGTTTAATCAATTGTAAAGTTATTAATATCATTGATTTAATTTATTATTAGTAATTATTTTCTTATTTTATGTCTACGTGTAAGGTTACATATTTTTGTATTTTTAGATGTTCAACTTCTACATAATTGGACATAAGACATCATGGATGTGAATTACATGGAAGAAGATTTTCTTATTTTATCTTTTTTACAATTGTGCTTATTGCTGTTATTAGAAGAAAGGAATCGAAAAAAGAGATGGTTAAATAGGAGATGGTGGGTGAGACCCATCAACGTTGCACGTCCTCTGTATGGGGACTTTGAACATCTCTTTAACGAATTGAAATATAATGATATCGATGTATTTTTTCGATATGCAAGAATGAGGAAAGAAACGTTTAATCATTTATTACAAATGACAAAGCCTTTTTTAACTAAATTGAGCAAAAGAGCTTTTAGTCCAGAACAACGATTGATCATAACTCTGAGGTACTTAATTACTTTTTTTCATATACTGTTAAATAAAAAAATAAAATAAACATGTCTAGTAAATTTACTTTTGCAAATATTTTATTTGGTAATATTGTTTTATATACATATCAAGACATTTTTGCAGATATTTAGCAACTGGGGATCAAATATTGTCTATTGCCCTAGCTTTTAGATGTGGAGAGTCAACAGTCCGAAAAATTATTCATGAAACTTGTTCAGTAATAGTAAAAATATTGCAACCAATTTACCTTCGTCTACCAAGAGAAGAAGAATGGAAAAATATTTGCACTGGTTTTCTGGAAAATTGGAATTTTCCTCATTGTGTTGGATCATTTGATGGGAAACACGTGGAAATACAAGCTCCGCCAAATTCTGGAAGCTTATTTTTTAACTATAAAAAGACATTTAGTATTGTATTGATGGCTGCATGTGATCACAGATATAGATTCACATTAGTCGATGTAGGTTCGTATGATGGTAATAGCGATGGTGGAATTTTTACTTCTTCTGATATTCATTCGGCACTGCAAGAAGAAACATTAAATCTTCCTAAAGGATTCGCAAATCTTCCTGGAAGCAACGTTAAATTGCCATGCTTTTTTCTCGGAGATAGCGGTTTTCCCATCAGTAGTATTATGATGCGACCTTACGCTGGAAAATTACATGATGAAAGAAAAAAATATTTAATTACAGGTTAGTTTGCGTATTTATTATTAGCGTTATTATATAAGATATATATACATATATGTATGCTTATCAAGCGTTTTATTGAATTACAGATTGTCTAGAGCCAGACGTACAATAGAAAACACTTTTGGCATCTTATCTTCACGGTGGAGAATTTATCGAAAACCGATTAATATGCACCCTAAATATATAGATAAAATTGTCATGGCGACAATATGTTTACATAATTATATAAAGTTTGAGGAAGATCTTATGCAAACGGAGAATAAAATATATTGTCCTCCTAATTTTATTGATTCGGAAGATGCAACAGGTAACGTTATTCCTGGAGAGTGGCGGCGATATACTCAAAATGTATTTAAAGACATCCCTCCTACTTCAACGCATAATGCAACTGCAGTTGCATATAGACAAAGAGATACATTGGCTGATTATTTTTAACGCCACAAGGTGAAGTTCCATGGCAATATCAGTATATTAGAAGAGGGCTGCATCACGATGATCCATGATAAAATATTCAATACAAATTATATTTTTATTTTAATACCAATTATATTTTATTTTATATTGATATACTTTATTACATTTAAATTTTAAACTCTAAAAAACTTTAAACAAAAAACTGAAATTGATATTATTTATGTTAATAAATTTTATATTATTAAATTACATAATTATGTAAACATGCATGTACAAAAAATAAACTATGTAAGCTTCATAAATAAAAGTAAAAACATTAATTTGTGTCATATAATAATACATCACAGTAAGTACATACATACATACATACATACATTACATATACTCGCAGTCTCTAAAAAAATATAAAACATTTTAATGTTATTTACGTATACGTAATAGTAATAGTAGTGATACTTTTATCACTTCTGATATTCATTGGCACTGCAAGAAGGAACATTAAATCTTTCTGAAGGTTTTACAAATCTTCCTAAAAGCAACACTAAATTATTGTGTTTGTTTCTTGGAGATAGCGATTTTCCAAACTAATAATAAATAAATAATATTATGCTGCCACCTTCATCCAGAAAATAAAAAAATGTTTAATTACAGGTTAGCTGTTTGCGTATTCATTATTAGTGTTACATATTTAAACTCACTGTTTAATAAAAAATCAACGTAATAAAATGATTTATCTATTATTGCATATCTCCTCACTTTTAACTTATAACATTAAAGTGCACTTTCTACATCTCTCAAGTTTTAAACACTTACTTACTAGTTTTGAATAATTAAAAAAAAGACGTTGCACAATCGACATTTGCGTCTCGACATATTAATAATATTACGCCGGAGTACGAACCCGTCCAGAATATAATCTATGTTGCTTATGTTTCTGCTCCGACACATTTCATATTATTCTTATATTACTAAAGAAATTAAAACTTAATTGATATTATTTCTATTAATGTATATTTTATATTATTTTAATATATATTTTTTAACTTTCGAATTTTTCTAAGTTTTTAAATAATTTTCGAAGTTATTATATTTAAACTCTGAACTCTAAATAATAAACAAGATAAAAATTAAACTGATAAATTAACTTAAATAGATTTACGTTAATACATTTTATATTATTGAAACTCTGAACAAAACAAAAATTAAAATCAAAAACAGAAATATGACAGACAATTCTCACAAGGCAGTTCTCAGAATTGTATCAGTCTTTTAAGAACTTCGATTATTTTAAATATCGTATATAATGCGCAATATATCCTTCTTTTTTTCTTTTTTACACCCCTGCATCTTTGTAAGTGAAGAAAGTATTAATTGACAGAAAGCCACATCTTCTTCTACTTCCGGTTTTAAAGATGACGAAACAGTTGAAACAGGTGAAGAGTATTTATTCTCTAGCAAAGATGTGACTTTGGAAATTGCATTTGCAACATCCGGCTGCGATTTTCCTTTTGATTTAATTTTACTATTTAAACCTTTCTTTGTCGCATAATCACAGGCACTTAATACTGAGACTGAAGAAGCATCAGACTGGTATGGTGAGGCTACCGCGTCGCTTGATTTGTATAAAAGTGAAGTTGAGTCTCTAAAAATTATAAATTTTTTCAAACAAAACAAAATTTTTACAACATGAAAAATGCTACAAATAAAAATGCTTGTGAAAATATGTACCTTAGATGTGCTGAATTTATATCTGTAAAAGACTGTTCACTTAAAGTAGCTGTAGAAGATATGTTCACTTCATTTCTGCCACTTGAGTTTGAATTAAATCGATTTTGTTCTAATGATTCTATATTAACTTTTGAAGAATTCTGCTCAATCAAGATACTTGCATTCAAAGGGAGATTTTCTTTTTCGTTATTGGAGCTAAAGTTTCTAAAAATAGAAAATAGAGATTTCATTACTAATTTGCAAGTAGAAGCACTTTTAATTATATGAATAATTTATATGAATATTATGTTTATATTTTACATACTTTTGAAAAGAAATGTACCGTTTAGTCAATGGAGAGTTTTTGGTCACTGCATGCACGTTGGTCATTGTTCTGAAACAAAATATCAAAAATTGCTTTTTTGCAGTACAAAGAGTTTTAAGAAGATAATATATAAAAAAGAAATCTTGATTATTCTAATTTCTTCACAATTTTTACTATACCTTCTTTTCTTAACGAATGGATCCAAAAATTGCATGTTATTGAAAAATTCGAAAGTTTTCCTTTTTGAGGCTCCACTTCCAGTGGTTGTCTCTTCTTGTCTTTGCTTTTTCTCTCTTGTATATCTTTCACGTAAGCGTGTCCATCTAGATTGGCACTCATCCGCTAGCAACAAAAATTACATTAAATTTAGCAGCATGCGGTACAATTTTTCATGCTAGATCGCATGCAATCTAGCTTGTTAAAAATGCTGCATGCTACATTTCTAGCAAATTGTTTACTAGTTTGCAATCTAACATGAAAAATTATACTGTCTGTCATTAGTTTAAATTAACATTACAATTTATTTCAATTACTTCATAAGTTTAAGTTATTCACACAAAGTAACTAATGAAAAATTAATTTCTTACAAAAAATTTGTTAAAATAAAGAATAAGTTGAAATTTAGAAAAATACTACATAAATACCTGTCATGTTCAAAACGATTGCAATTTCACTCCAGGCATTCAGCTTTTTCAACTGATCTTTAAAGTCAGTTAATTCTTTATTATATAAATAGGGATGGTCATGTACTAAAGCTATAAGTAAAGCATCTCCATCTATTTCGTTTTCATTTATTTCGTTCTCTATTTCACAAAAATTTTCATTTTTATGTTCATTTTCAGAATCACATTGCATCTGTCCGTAGTAAGATTCAGTTTGATATTGAGAATCAAAACAGTATGTCTTATGATCCATTTTCCTATCGATATAAAATATTGATTGTAATGTAATAAAATATAAATATCCAATTATATATATAATTATTAATAATGCAGTACTTACAACATGTATTGTAAAAAAAAGAATAGGTTAGAAACTGGAACACAATATGATGGAGATGATAATATACAATCTAGACGCGTATCTGTTTGCATAACGCATAAAAGTTCGTCCTTACGGATTTTTCGACTCTTTATGCATCATGTTTTGTGCACTATGCAAGATCCGCAGAATGAGAAGTGGGGATAGAAATGAAGGACTCTCATTGGTTTATTTCTTTATGCTTTATGCCTTATGCGTTATGCAAAAGTCTGTGCTCCCGCCTTTATTATTAAATATTATGGAATTATATATAATGGAAAAGAAATTGATGATATTGAAAAAATATTAATTGATCGTGATTTTCAAGTAGAGAGATCGTGTACGAAAATGATACATTCGTGATGGACTTTTTAAAACCCTTTTATAATAATTTACAATTTAAAAGACGCTATAGATTAATAAGGATTCCTCCTATATGGAATATTACGAAAAATTGAAGAAGGATTTTAGCAAAAATTAACAATCGTGGTCTGCCGATTCCACCAGTACAAAACAAATTGTTAAATATGCTTAAGATACTACGCAACACACACACACACAGAGAGAGAGAGAGAGAGAGAGAGGGGTGTGTCTAAAAATAAATATATTAATAAAATTTATCTTTATTATTATTTTTAATTATTTCATTTACTGGATTATTTTCTTTTTCAGCATCATCAGTCTCATTACTGCTTGAGTCTGTAACATTCAAAAATTCTAAATTCTTATTCATAAACAAATATGTTAATAGAAAATATCAATAAAATTAATTATTTTATCATTTGTAGGAAGTGTGATAATAGAATCATTATTAACTTCCTGGAAATCATCATCAATAAAGTCTATGCTCTCCACATTTTCAATTAATTCCTCAGGAATACAAATCATTAATATTCTTTGTTGTCGTTCTGAAAAATATTCATTGTTACTATTTTTTCAATTTTTATTATAATATAAATAAATAAAATAAAGATGAAAGTACCTTTTAGTATTTTATCTGATAAATTTGATAAAAATAATGTTGGTGCAATTGTCATTAAATTGGGTGCTATTGCGGCAATGTCCGGGTCAATCTTTGCAGATTTAGGTTCAGGTCCACCACCTGTTGATAAACGTGCATGTTTTTCCTGCGTAAGGATATCTCTCTGTACTGATTTTAAATTACTCCATAATTTTCTAAATTGAACGCTTCTCTGTAATAATTATTACACATTAAAATGTTAAAAATTAAATTACTTTGAAAAAAAATTAAACTATCATATATAGTAGGCCAACTGAAAACGAGCAATAATAAGGTGTAAAATTTTTATTATAGTAAATAATTAAATTAAACATTTCGTTACAGAATCGATATAAATTGTAACGTTTCGACTGCACTACAGTCTTTATCAATACATAAAAGTTAAATATTAAAAAATAAAAGTTAAATGTTAAAAAATACAAAGTTAGTTAAATATTAAAATATAAAATGAAACGATTCTTCGCTGTTGACCAATAGATATGCAAGGCGATTGGTCTGAGATGCCAAGTTATGCGACATTTGAGCATGCTACGGATATAATACGCGAATTAAATCAATGTCAGAGAAAATTAAAAAATCTTTCAACTTACATTATCGTTTTAACAAGTCCTTTTCCCCGATATTTCAAGTGTGTGTTGCGAAGTCTGAATACCAAATGTCAAAATAGAGAGCGTGATGTATTTATTTATTACCAATGTTTTTTCTAAATTATGATTCAGCAAATTTTTTAAGTATGTCAAAATAACTACTGTCTAACAATTCGGTGTCTGTATTTAAATTAATTCCATTTTTCTGTTCTTTAATGTGGATCATTTCAGATATTAGTCTTTTATGGTAGTTCTTTTCGTGATCCATAATTTTAATATTGTCCCAGTCAAATGTATGTTGTTCGTTTAGAATGTGTTCTGTGACAACCGAATGTCTAGCAGAGTCTAATTT